TTTTCTATTAACACTAAAATAACAATTGCCTTTAGAAAGGTATCCTCATCCCATTTTCATAGATGTAAGATACGTCGTTTCTCTATCTTTATCCCTTTACGCCCTGGTCAAAGATCGATTTGCTTTGCCCTGGTTGGCCAAAGTCGTTTTCTCCAAAGTCATTTGCTTTCTACTCTGGTACTATCTCTCATTATATGGTTGTCTATCTCTTATTAACATTATAAATTACACTTGAAGGTATGTTTTAAAATTTCTATATCGATCAGATAAGTCCCTCAAAGATATAAAAATATTTTAAACTGCCCTTAGTCAGTGTTGGGAGGTGGAAAGTTTGAACAATTAAAGTTATTTTGATAAATTTAACCCTAAGTTAAGGCCTCTTTGGGGTAAAATTTAAGATTTGATGATGTACAATTCACATTCTCCGGTCACACCAGTGTTGGGAGGTGGGAAGTGTGAACAATTAAAGTTATTTTGATAAATTTATCCCTAAGTTAAGGCCTCTTTGGGGTAAAATTTAAGATTTGATGATGTACAATTCACATTCTCCGGTCACACCAGTGTTGGGATGTGGGAAGTTTGAACAATTAAAGTTTATTTTGATAAATTTATCCCTAAGTTAAGGCCTCTTTGGGGTAAAATTTAAGATTTGATGATGTACAATTCACATTCTCCGGTCACATCAGTGTTGGGAAGTGGGAAGTTTGAACAATTAAAGTTATTTTCATAAATTTATCCCTAAGTTAAGGCCTCTTTGGGGTAAAATTTAAGATTTGATGATGTACAATTCACATTCTCCGGTCACACTTAAGAGGAATGGTAGGTCCAGAGATTGGGGCAACTGTTGAAACTTGTGATCTCGGGGCAATCAATCATAGACGGATGACTACCATCAAAGGTAACGATACAACTCTGGAGTCGGGATAAGTCCCCCGATCAGAGCATGGACTTCGACCTCCCAATGAAGGAATAGACAAAAGGGAGCAGGGGACATCATGCAATGGTGATTGCCTCTCATCCTCCCCAGGAGGTTCAGAATGTCTCCCTCTATTTAGGAAAAGCTTTTAAATATGTAGAAGAACCCAAATTTTTAAAACTTTTTACGGCAATGTGAGACTCGTCTTCAGTTTCCGTTGATGAGGCTTTATCCCCATTCAAGTTTTGATCCAGCAACTTTGGGACGAGAGAAACTGCTTATACCTTGTGTGTGGTCTCGGGCCCAAAAGCTCGGACCGAATGCTTAGATGTTATAACTCAAATCGTTCGAGGCTGCTACACATTTATTTGACAGTAGCAAAAAGGGCTCTTTACTACTAAGATTTAAACTTAGATTCATATAGAAATTTAAAAGCAATACTATCAAGTGTAATTATGGTCAAATTTTCTTTTACTAAATTTGGAATCCAGATGTAATATATAGCACTATTCACGATATTGTAAGAGATTTCAAATGATAGTTTCCGTAAATTTTAATTATTATTTTTTTGGAAATTTTAGTCCAATTTTCTTTTACTAATTACGGAAGGAAATTTGTTTTTGTTAATGAACAAACAAATTTAAAAACATTTGGTCTTACGATTTTGGAATATGGGTTTCCAAGCTTATCCAACTTATCTTGGGGGAAAATACATGTCCTTATGCTAAATTTGGGACTTCTATGACATTCAATACCTCACTGTAGGTCCCTTGAACTTTGTTGTGTTCGAACAAGACAAATTTGACAAAATTGTTTGTAAAATTACTTTATTGGAAATAAATTGGCCGAATATGTAATACAAAAGTAGTTGACTACAGATATTTAATTAAGAGATGATATTTGGTGCATAAGGGACATCAAATATCCATCATGGACCATAAAACCAAAACATAAAATGAACAACAGATGAATAATTTCAAAAAGTATACTTATAAGTTTTAGTTCATATGGAAAGCTCTAAAAGGGGTAACGGAAATGCCCGGCAATGAGAAAAAACATGGTGACTTTTGGTCTTATTGAGGGTATGGCCTCCATAGAGAAGAATGGATGAACATGATTCATGTAACCGACCCCAAATAATTGAGATAAGATTTGGATGATGATGATGAAGACACTTGCAACTTTTAAAATTTATTTTGTTTTTATGTGTATGATTCTCCTGGTCAAGATTATTAATCCCCAAAAATTTAAATCCAAAATCATATCTAAGCTTTAATTCCAATGTTTTAAAACCCTGATTGCTGAGGTGGATCGTTCGTCTAGAGATCTATGTCGAATCGTTGGATCGGAGATCCAGATTAAGTCTAGATCAGTCCGAGTCAGTGACCTATAAAATATTAATAAAATAAATAAAATAGAATAAAAATTCAAATAGGAGTACATGGGGGTTGGGATTTATAGGGACCTAAGAATACATTAGATAAGTTTCAAAAAAAAAAAAAAAAATATAAAAAAGAGTTTTAGGGGTTAACTAGGCCAAGACCCATACCATACCATAATCGATATGGTCTCAACCAATTCTCATCTGAATTGCCAAACTCGATCGAAAATCACCATGAACTTCTTGGGGGGATCCCAAAAATCCAAACAAGGATGAGCCACACCCATTCCAAGATGCGCACATAGTTGACAAGAGATTCCAAGAAGCCATTCACATGGAGGTCGAAACTACCATTAATTTTTTAATCTTAGGGGAAACTACCATATTTTTATGAGTGATGAGGAAACCTATCATGAAAACAAATAAAGAAATGAAGAAGTTGGCATAGAACATAATGAAAGCATGAGGAAGTATGGTCTTATTCTATCTCATCATGCTCATTGACCTATTTTAAACTTGGCCATATTCTAAATTTTAAAATAGGAAAGAGTTTATATAAGTGTGAGGCTCTAAACAATCAAATTAGGGCACATCTCAAAAATTTCACTAATATCCTCAAATTAATCATCTTGATCTCAAAAGACATGGACATGAGAAAAAATAGATTTCAAGTTGTAGAAATAGTGCTTGTAATGCATTTTTGGACCGTAAATTTTCAAGATTTTTTAGTTCTCATAGATCTGCTCGATCTACACTATTTTTTAAGCTTTAAATTTTATAAGGGAAAATATCCTATTATCTCCTTTTTTTAACTTCTATATCTCATCAGACCCAAAAACTAAAAATATTACTTGTAAGCAAAAAGGACTCCATCTTTTCTATCTTCCAACCCCCTAAACCTTTTTAACCATATATTATTGATCTCAACAACTTATGAAATAACTCTATCCCTCTCTCTCTAAAACTCCATCTCTCTCACACATCATCGTCTCTTTCTCTCAAAACTTCATTTCTCTCTAAAATGTAATCTCTCTCTCTCTCTCTCAAAACTCTATCTCTAATCCTAAAACTCAAACTCTATCTCTCTCTAAAACTCAAACTCCATCTCTCTCTCTCTACTAAACTCTATCTCTCTCTCAGACATATAAGAAGGTATGTTCGTGTTCGTGTTCGAGTTCAAGTTAAACCCCTTTGTCTGGTAAACTCATCGAGAAGCGAAGAGAGAGATAGAGTTTGAATAGGGTGTGATTTTAGTATTTGTTTAAGTAAAAAATTTACGGTCAAAGTGGTCCAAGGGTTGTAAGATAGAAAAGATGGAGACATTTTGCTTACAAATAATATTTTTATGAAATATAGAAATTAAAAATAAGAGATAAAGAGATATTTTTCCATTTTATAATTAGATATGTTAATATATTTTAAGGCTACCACAAAGATTTCCAATATTAAAACGACATTTATCGATGGCTTTATATTACCCGCACCCTTTAAAATAACCTTCAGCCTTGCCTAAATCTATTGACTTGTACCGTATCCCACCTTTGATGACAACAAATCTTACAATCTTACTAATCTAATGTTACCACAGGATATAAATTAATATTTAATTATAATATAGTACTTAAACCTCGGACAGAAGCCACTACTTATAGCATAAAATAACTACCCCAAGTAGAAAATAAATTAGATTTCAGATCAAAATTGGGAAACCCCTCTTTGAATATTGTTAAACAATTAAATAAATTATAATCAATATTTTGACTTATACCTGTTGTTCCCTACCTAAATTTAATACAGCACATGCTAAAGATGAGGACCACCATGCTCACTTTTATCGTCCTAAAGTTTTTGCTGTTTTTTTTTTTTTGGTTTAGGGAAACTCTCCACAAATATTTAATGCCTATGTGATTGAAAAATCCCAAGTATGGGACAAAACAATAAAATGAGACATAAGTTATATATATCATGAATAATATATGACATCATTGTTAGCTTATTTCTGAATTGAGATTGAATAATTAAATAACATATGTGGATAATAGAGATACCCACAAAAGTCGCCTGAAAAATAAATTCTCCACTAATGACTTTTGTTCATTAATTCTTGAGGTACATTAAACAAGGAAAGTAACAAGAACCTTCAAACTCTACTGGAAGATATTTATGGTGTTAGCAAAATATAAATTCAAAAATCTAGTTTTTCATTTAAATATAAAATTTAAAGTTTTACAAATGGTCCAGATAGAAAATCTTAAAAAATGGGCACTCCAGATAATATATTACAAAATCCGTTATATTTAGTACTTAAAAATTGCTTTTTTAAATATTCCCTCGTGTTATCCTGTTCTTCATTTCTAATTGTTTTGTTTTTTGTTTTTTTACTTCTTTTATTTTTGGTGGAGGATTACCCACGTTGACGACCAAAATGTCTTTCACATTTTATTGACGGGTAAATAAGTCATTCTGATGCTCATATTTAATAACTTTCGCCGAGTGCAAAACGACAAAAAGAACGGAAAGTTTCGCCGAAATTTCGAACGATCTCGACAAACTAATGGAAGGGCCGCACAGAACGAGCTGACGCTGCTCTCTTCTCGAACCTAAATCAACGGTTCACATTTTCCCACGTTCCATTACTATTCTGAGAAACGAAATGGCTCCGATCATCTGTCCATCTATATATATATAGCCATGGCAATGGAGAGTGTAAGCATGTGGAAACTCAATCATTGTAGAGAGAGAAAGTAGGTTTTCATGCAGTACAGAGAGAGTTCAGAGAAAGTATTTAGAGAGAAAGAAACAGCTTTTGGGTCTGAAAGGGTAAGATTTTCAGATTTGAATTTTGTTTGAGTTGGAAGTGGAACATATAACTTCGCCTGTGGTGGAGAGAGAAAAGATAGTGTTCCAGCAGTAAAGAGAGAAAACAAAGTTTTCGAGGAGAGAGAAAACGAAGTTTTCAAGGAGAGAAGTTTCCAGGTTTGCATTCTTGGGAGAGAGAGAATTTAGTTTGAGTTTTCCAAATCTAGAGAGAGAAAGTTGTCAATGGGTGAATCTGGAGCAGTCCCTCATGTCCTAATATTTCCTTTCCCAGCTCAGGGCCACATAAACAGCATGCTCAAATTAGCCGAGCTCTTTGTTTCTCTCACTAACTTCCACGTCACCTTCCTAAACTCGGAACACAACCACAAGAGACTCGGTCTGCGAGCCGATTCGTTATTGGAAAGGGTCCATTTCGAGGCAATAACCGACGGTTTACCCGAGTGCCACCCGCGCTCGGCCGACCGGATCATGGACCTATTCGACTCGCTCAAAGCTCGAACAAAACCGATTTTCAGGGAGATGTTGAGAGAGAAAGCGAAAAGGGGCGAGCCACCAGTGACCTGTGTGATAGGTGATGCGATACTGTCTTTTATTTTGGAGATTGGAGAAGAGGTTGGGGTGCCGGTTATTGCTTTTAGGACTGTGAGTGCGTGTTCTTTGTGGGCTTACTTCTCTATCCCTTGGCTTATCGACGCTCGAGTTCTTCCCATCCCCGGTAATTTCTCTACTTTCTCTCTCTGGACATTTTTTTTTTTTCTAAAAATTAAAATTTAAATTAAAAAAGAAAAAAGTTTTTATAAAGCCGAAGCTCTAAACAATCAAATTAGAGTTCACCTCAAAAATTATTAGAGCTCACCTCAAAAATTTCACGAGAAAAAAGTTGTTTTGATGCCTAAATATCTTCAAATTGATCATCTCGACATCAAAATGCATGGATACAAGAGAAAAATGAATTTCACGTTTTGAAAATAGTGCATCTTGTAATGCATTTTGAGTCATCAATTTTCAAGGTTTTTGAGTTTTTATAGATATGTTTGATCTATACTATTTTTGAAGCTTTAAATTTTATAATTAAAAATAAAAATATATTTTAAAGCTATCACAAAGACTTTCAATATTAAAACCACGTTTTTGGACATTATTTTAAGGTAAGTTCTACTTTGATTGCTTAGAGCCAACCCACAAAATTTAGAGCCAACCCACAAAAAAAAAAAAGGGACATGGTTTCTATGGGTTCCTATGAGTTTCTATATAATGCTTAATATGGAAATTATTAATACGTAAAAAATAAAAAATAAAACGATATTCTTCATAAGGAAATATTTGAGCTGTTAATTTGACTTTTTTTTTTTTTGGACGGACTATCATTTAGGTCACCCATATCCTCCTCTAACGCGGAACAGGTTAGACCAATGATTTAAAAACCGTCGAGGGTTCGACTTGAGAATCGGCTCAGGCCGTACTGGTTTCAGCACAAAACCGAAAACTGCCCAGTTTCAGAGCAGAACCGTCGGTTCCCTCCCGGTTCTAGCCTTCACACGTTTGTACGCGTCACGCGTGCCACACACACCACTCACACAGGTGTGTACGTGTGACATGAGCCGTATACACTCCCACACGTGCCACAAGCATATACACGCACGTGTGTGCATTACGCGTGCTACACGCACCACTCCCACACGTGTGTGCGCGTCACACGTGCGACACACACCACTCCCCGATGTGCTACCGTACGGCACACATCACTCCCACATGTGCCACCCGTGCGACACGCACATGCACATGTGTATGTGCACTGATGCCCTAGTGTTTTCATACTTGCATTAATCTTCCAATTACATAATTATTTGTATAGCATATTTGAGTACGCATCATTCGATGTGGAATAATTCCCAAATATCACTAAATGAAAACATAATGTAAATATATGCTATTAATAGGCAATTTTAAACACATATGTTAAGGAGGCATGATGGTTATCACTAATGTTATTTGTTTTGACATCTTCGAATCCCCTCTTAGGCCATATAATGGTTATCCCTTCTTGAGCTAATTTTTGTTTTCCCTTGGGTATATAATAAATTAAAGTGTTTTTTCTAAAATCTATTTTTATTACTTTTTACATGATAACCAAGTCTTTTATTTTATTTATTAATTTTTACATTATAAATCATGTAATGTACTATTTTTCTTACTGTTGTCAAGAATACATTTTAAATTAGATAATTTTATAAAATATTTTTAATTTGTTATTATTTATCTAATAAAATAATTATAAAATGTAAACTAATAATTATAATTTCAGTATATAATATTATAATTAGTTAGGTTGTAATAATTTTGGATTATAGTTAGTTAGGTTGTAATAATTTGGGATTGTTTAGCAGATTAGGGTTTTTCGTCAAAACGAGATTTTAATGGCCATTCTTTCATTGATTTAATCTATTCTTTATTATAGTCTATGTATAATTATATATTTTATCCATGATAATGCTACGATTTTTTTTTATGTGATGTAAATTTAATACTTAAGTTTATACAAGGAAAGAGCATCTCAATATTCACAAATTGATGAAAAAATTGAAAGTTGATAATGTAGTACCTTCATTTCTTATTGGATTCCTAAAAAACAATATTTATAATGAATTTTAATAATATTTACGGATTTTTTTGAAGCTTTAATCCGACCGATTCTCGATCCGGATCGTCGATTTGCCGATACGGATCGGTTTTTGAGGTGCCCGATCCGGGTCACCGATCCGCTTTTTAAATAATTGGGTTAGACAAAAAAAATAAAAATCGAAGAACATAGTAGGACCAATGTGGGCTCCGGCCCATGTAATGTCGGCCCTACACGCTTCAGGGTAAGGTCGTAGTTTCTTGGGTTTGGCCCAGTCCTCTTGGTTTTCGGGGCCCGGCGCGGCACCCCTCTGATTTTCAGGGTTCAGGCCAGGCGCGGGTCAATTTTTTATTGTAACCCGCCATTTGCAGGCTGGCCCACCCCAATCACGTGGCGAGACACGCCCACTCTTGTTCAGGTGGCCTCCACAGATAACGCCATGCGAAACTCCCCATCGAGTGGCCCCTTGCTAAAAAGAGACAATGCGGGTCTATTGTCCCTTTCTCACAAGCATCGGGTTGCAGTGAAGGGTGAAATACTCGGATCAAAGTAAATATGCTTCGCATGATTCAACTTTTTTTTAATTTTTTTTTTTATATCTTTATTTCCTATTTTTTAGGGGAAAAATATTGTTTTTAAATTTCTTTAATATGATAACATTAAGGGGCTTTATTTTTATTTTGAACTATATGATATGGAAGTGCTTTCTAATATTTTTTTAATCATGTTTATCATAATATTATAATTTATAATTATATATTGATAACCAAATCTTATATTTTATTTAGTAATTTATTTGTAATATAGATTATATAATGTACTTTTTTATTATAGTTGTAAATAAGATTTTTAAATAAGATGATATTATAAAATAAATTTTAAATTTATTCTTATTTGTATATTAAAATAATTATAAAATAAAAAACAATAATACTAATTTCAGTGGATAATGGTATAGTTAGTTCGAATGTGATAATTTGAAAAAAATTTATATAAGATTATAACCTTGTAATGTTGAAGTAAGGTGCACCTCAAAAATCATACAATGGAGAGTGTTTCGGCGTTGAAGAACCCTCTAATGGACCATCTCAACCTTGAAATGAATGGACATGAAGAAAAAAAAGAATTTCAAGCCCAAAAAATAATGCATCTTGTAACAAGTTATTTGAATCGTCTATATTCATGATTGTCATGTGTTTCTTGATATGTTCCATTTTATAAATTTTAAAACTTGTCAATGAGCATAAAAATAGATTTTGAGGCCATCACAAAGTTTTTGACATCGAAACAACATCTCAAAGAAATTTTATAGGTGAGCCTTACTTCTACAGTATAAGGAGGCAACCTTATAAAAACCTCACCCTGATAATTTTAGATGTGTAAAAATAATTAATAAATATTTGATGTGATACATGAATTTTATTTTATAAGAGTATTATTTTTGGGTATGGTTTCTATAAGGTTGCAACCTTAAACAATCCATTTAAGGCGCACCTCCAAATTTTATTATAACATGTAATTGTACTGTAAAAAATTCTTTGAATTATCTGAAAATCTATTTTTACTTCTAATTATAAAATTCTAAACTCCAAAAGTGGTTATAATCAAGTAGATCTATAAACTTATGAAAATCTTGAAAATGGACGGTCTAGATAATGTGTTGTAAGATGCACTATTTCTGGGACTCAAAATCCTTCTTTTTTTCTTTTTTTTTTCATATTCACACATCTTGATGTCAAAATGATCAATTAGAGGGTTTTTCAACATTAAAACAACATTTTCCAATATTTTTTGAGGTGCATCTTTAATTCTACATGTTAAGGTTGCAACCTTATATAAACTTTTTTCATTATTTTTTGGGATGGTATACAATAAGATCATTTATTTTTTATACAAGGTGGTCACAATTACTTATAATCATCCGATGTGAAATTTGGTAGCTTAGGTGTGTCATAAAATTCGAGATTTTTTTTTTTTAAGTTTGAGTTTGATCAATAGAGTAAATGCTACCACCGAATTTCACATCCAACAGTCAAAATTCATTGTTACTACCTCGTACCAAAGGTTAATGGTCTCATTCCATACTTTTCTTTATTTTTTTTATCTCATAATATGAAAGTATTTTTTTAATATTTTTTAATCATTTTGATATAATATTATAATATTATATTATAATTAATAATTATACAAATGTCTAAACTGGGAAGTAACCTCTAAATATTCACGTATATTTTGCAAATAAGGAAAGTACATAATATAAAATCCCAATTTTTTTGAAACTCAAAAAAATTATTTTTGGAGATTTTAATAGATATTTTGAAGTTTTTTTGGCCAAAACAAGTCGATCTGACCAATTCTTCGATTCGAATAGCCAATCCACTACACCGACATAATTTTTGTGGTGGCCGATTCGGGTGATTGATCCGTTTTTTTTTTAAAACCTTTTAATAAAGTAAGGGATTGTATACACAAGCATGAAAGGTCAATGTAAATAATCGAAAACTACTCTTTTTTTTTTTTCTTTGTTCTTTTTTTTTATCTCCAAAAAGATTTACATGTTGTCTATCTACTTCCTCAGCCAAAATCAAAATCCATTCTGCAGGTATACTGAGGACCCCAAAATTTGGGCAAATAACTACTTCAACCGATATGCTATACTCAATAAACAAACTTCCAAATTGCATTCTCTATGGGCTTGAATAAAATCATACCTCAAGTTGAATAGAAACTGACAAGTTTTTTAAAGGCAAGATTTAAAAATTTCAATTTTTAATTTTCTTTTTCCTTTTAACTATAATCTAGTGATTTTTACCCAAAATTGCAGATAAAAAACATTTCCTAGTTATTTTTCTGACTGAAGAGTCTATGTGTTTTTTTTTTTCTTTTAAGCATACCAATTTCTTGTGATTCCACAACGACAATCTCTCTCCATGCTCAAATTACATCTCTGTTTTTAAAATGCATTGGTCTGTTTTTGTCAGGCGTCAAACAAAGGCATCCTTTTTGCATATCATGGATTTAGCAACAAATTTAGCAGTATTATTTTTGCATGTTTATAGATAGGCTAATTTTGTGGCTGACCTTCTTACCGAAGAGAGTACTAGTCTCTCTAGTTGTTTATGATGATGTCATTTCCTTTAATTAAAGTCTAATGAAATTATTGATCTTACTCAAAACAAAGGCATCAAACCTTATCCTAACATCAGCCAGAAAAGGTTCCAATTTTGGAAAATGGTCTAATTGATCATCTCGACATCAATATATATATAAATATGAAAAAAAGTATTTTAGATCCTAAAAATAATGTCTTGTAAATATGCTCCATGTATTATTAATATTTTCAAATATTTATAGATAAGGTAGTGGGTAAAATAAGATAGACATTCACATTTTCAAGCAAGTAAAGGCATTGTGTCAAGACAATATTTGAGCCTTAATAATTAAAATCAGTGTCCAAAAGGTTGTACTAGATAAATTAGTCTTCGGGATACATGAAAACAAAAGCAAAGAGTAAATGTAACATGTTAAAATGCATTGAAATAACAAGTTTGTAATGTATTAGAGTTGCCTTATTTTCTAAATAAAAAATAAAAATTCGCAAAATAATGTGATTGTTAAGAGATGCGATTGTTTTGAAGTTAAGAGATGTGATTGTTCGATGAACATAATGTTAGAAAGTGTTTAGTACATCATTTTCTTTTCTTTGTTCTTCAATGTGTGACGCATGGTCTATTGCTAGCTCTATAGCATAGCGACTAATACTAAGTACATGTTGTGTCTTCTATATTTATCCCTCGTGCATGGGAGGATTTTTGCTTTTTTCTTTGAAAGATTTGGATCCTCTTTTTAATGATGTTATTAAATATAAGGAACCCTCCTTATGCTGTACAACCAACGCGAGGTGTCGAAAACTTTATGATTGACTTGAAAAAATATATTCGTTCTTATGAAATTCATAAAATTTCAAAAACGCTATGAATCAAGCAGATCTATAAACACTTGAAAATCTTGAAAATAGAAAGTCGAAGTAACTTATTATGATGCACTACTTTTAAGACTTATTATTATTATGTTTCTCTATACCTATATATCTTGAGGTTGAGATGATCAATTAGAGGGTTTTCCAATATGGAAGTACTCTCTTCTTCAGGATTTTTTTGTTTTGCACCATACTTCAATTGTAGAAGGCACACCTTATATAAACTTTAAAATTTCTTAAAATTTTGTCATGGACTTAGAAAATTGCCGGACCCCAACTGAGCTCACCGTCGTTTGTTGCTTGCAGAGGGTGCTGACATGGACCAGACAGTAACTTGTGTACCAGGAATGGAGGGTTTGCTCCGGCTACGGGACCTCCCAAGCTTCTGTCGAGAGCGGGACATCTCGAACCCGGGCCTCCAACTCGTACAGAACGAGACTCGCCACACAGTCAAGGCTAGAACCCTCATCTTGAACACATTTGAGGCTCTTGAGGGCCAAACACTCAACCAAATCCGCAAGCATTGCAAAACGGTCCGAGCCATTGGGCCACTACACGCGCTACTCCGTGCCCAAGGCCCCAAAGCACCACCACTTTTTCCCTCCATGAGCCTATGGCTCGAGGATAGATCATGTCTCACGTGGCTCGACTCCCAGGCCCCTGGCTCCGTCCTGTACGTGAGCTTCGGCAGCTATACTGTAATCTCCCGCCGTCAGTTAACAGAATTCTGTTATGGAATTGTTAATAGTGGGAAGCCTTTCTTGTGGGTTATACGTCCCGACCTTTTGGATGGAGAGGAGGCGGTGCTGCCCGAGGAACTCGCATTGCAGGCAGAGGCACAAGGAAGGTTCGTGAAATGGGCCCCTCAGGAGGAGGTGCTCCACCATCCTGCGGTGGTTGGATTCTTGACTCACAGCGGATGGAATTCGACTCTGGAGAGCCTGGAGGCCGGAGTTCCCATGCTATGTTGGTCCTTCTTCGCAGATCAACAGGTTAACAGCCGGTTTGTGGAGGGTGTGTGGGGGGTTGGGTTGGACATGAAGGATGTGTGTGATAGGGTGGTCGTAGAGCATAAGGTAAGAGAGCTTGTCGAGAACGAGGGGCCGAGGCGCGCCGCACGTGCTATGGCGGAGCGGGTGAGAGAAAGTGTGAACCCTGGGGGCTCTTCTTTCATGGAGTTTGAGGAGTTGATTGATGATATAAGGTCAATGAGAGCTTGTACCCTCTAGGCACCTGAGTGATACACATGAGACTGGAATTGCAGGAATTTGTTTTGGTGTTGTGCTTTAATTCTTTAAAAATGTTAGGGAAGGTAGGAAAATTTGATAAATATGGTACCAGAAATTTTGAAATTATTCTGTGTAGTTTTGATATGTTTTAGTGGTATTTAAATTATTGAAAAGTTACTTTTGAGTCGGGAGATGCTATTCTACATACCAAGCATCCATCGATCGGCTGCCTCTCCAGTAGGTATTGGTCATTGAAAAGGAAGACACTTAAAAAACTTTTCTTTCTAGGTGTCTACTTATTTATCATTCATCCAATATTCCAAGTAAATATCAAAGAAGTATTTATCATTCATCCAATATTCCAAGTAAATATCAAAGAAGGATAAGTGTAGTACTCTAGGTGAATCCTAAAAAAGGACAACTACATATACCCTCTTCAAAATTCTGACTAAGAGATTTTTTAAAAGAAAAATTATTTCATGCAAGCTAGACTGCATATATACATATTCGGTCTAAAAAGTGTAAAACATCAATATTAAAAATGGATGCAAGTAAGTGTTCTATCTAAAAACAATAGAAACTAACGGTCCAAATGTTTTATTCCTAGAATTATTTTTCTAGTTTTTAAGATTTATTTATTTTTTCATATTTACGATCTCCATGTTAGATATTTACATGTCCTTAAAAATTGTTTTAAAATCCATCTCAAAAATATATTGAAGCCCGCATTCCTACATATGCGGGCTTGACCACATAGAGCTTGGGTCCTTCTTAAAAACCTGACTTTGAGTCTGAATAACCACACAAACCAGATGGATGCATAAAAGTGATGCTCCCACAAAGAACTAAAATGAGTAGTCAAGAATTTTTCTCAAAAAATATTTTTTTAATTTTTTAATTTCAATTTTTTTTACATATTTATGATCCTTGTGTTAGAGAGTTATATAACCGAAAATATTGGATTCAAAATCTATCTAAAAAATAGAGAATGGAGAGAGGCTATTATCTACATATATGAGTCGGCCCCGACTCATACAAAACGTGTCGTTAGATTATTTATCTTAGGATATATGTCCCTTACGGCACCTTAGGGTGAATACTATAGTTATCCACTTCAAGGAGATACATAATTGTCAAAAAACACTTTGGTGATAGGAAAGGGCAAGCTTTCTATACTTCCCCTCGTATGCTTAGAAGTTCTATCCTTCCCCTTATCCAACCGTCGATTCTGAATGGAGGGTTAAGATTGCTCGAATCACAATGTCATGTCTTTATACTATTTTATTTTTAATTTTTTTTTCTATAAACTATTTTGACACCAAATTTTGGACGCCCATTCTTCTATTAAACTCACACTAGCAAAAAATATAAAACAAATATTTTCAATAAAATAAAATGAACAAAATACCCTTGAAAATTTTAAGGGGTATTTTATTGAAAAGTTATTTTTAATATTTTTTATAGGTGCATTCCAATGAGAAGATGACACGTACCAAATTTCATATTCATACAATTTGTACAAAAAAAACTAAAAATAAAATACTTTAAGACGTCGGATCTAAAATCAAACAGTGAGTGGCTCTCTTGATCAAAATTGGACGGCTGGATAGGAGGGAGAGGATGAAACTTCTACACTACAGGGGAGGCATAGAAACTTTTCCCTGTAGTTTATGATTTGTTCATATCGGTTGGAGATCATAAATATACTTGAATGATGGATCCCCATAGAATGTTTCTATGCCTTTTTTTAATTTTGGGAAAGGTTTATACACTTCCCCTACTTCTATCCTACCCTACCATCCAGTCGTCCAATTTTGATCAAGAGAGCCACTCACTGTTTGATCTTAGATCTGACGTCTCAAAGTATTTTAGTTTTAGTTTTTTTTTTATAGAAATTGTATGAATATAAAATTTGGTACATACCATCTTCTCATTGGGGAGCACCTATAAAAAATATTAAAAATAATTTTTTCTAAAATATAATGACCAAAATACCCTTTGAATCTTTCAAGGGTATTTTGGTTATTTTATTTTATTGAAAATATTTTTTTTTAATATTTTTTTCTAGTGCGAGTTTAATAGAAGAATGGACGTCTAAAATTTGGTGTCAAAATAGTTTATAGAAAAAAAATTACAAATAAAATAGTATAGGGACATGACATTGTGATTGGGGCAATCATAGTCCTCCATTCAGAGTGGACGGTTGGATAAGGGGGAGGATAGAAATTCTATACTATAGGGGAAGCATAGAAAATTTTCCATTTTATTTTTGGGTGAGGTTTATATGAAATTAAAACCTTAAACAATCAAAGTAAGATGCACTTCGAGACTTGGTCATAAGATGTAATTTTTATATAAAAATATTTAGAATGACCAGATAATATATTTTTATTGCTAATTATAAAATTGTGAACTTCAAAAATAATTCAAAACAAGCAAATCTATAAACACACAAAATTTTTGAAAATGAACCGCCTAGATAATGTTGCAAGATGTACAATTTTTTAGACGTGAAACATTTTTTTCGTTTTTCTTATCTATATCTCGATGATCAGATGATCAATTATATAGTTTTTCAACCTCAAAATAGCTTTTTCTGATATTTTTTGATGTGCACCTTAATTCTAGAATCTAAGATGCGAACTTTATATAATTTTTTCCTTTGTTTTACCATTTCCCTTTTCAGTAAAATGAAGAATAATGGTTTAATGAAAGAAAACAAAAAGGATATACAAACAAATAAAATGAGATGTATGCAAAATTTTAAAATAAAATTAAGAGTAGAAAGATTGGTTATTTTACTTGCTATTAAATAAGAGAACATATCTTTTTACACTTTTTTTTTAGGTTTCATTTCTCAACGGGCTCAAGGTTTCAAAACATATTCGGTGGCATAGAGGTTTCATGTATTAAATCGTTTAACCTCCTAGACCAACTTTATCTCTTTTGACCTCATCTTTTAAACCCAAACAAAAGTTCAAAAAACATCCATTTTTTTTATTCCTTTCTAAATCCCCTTCTACCTATTTTTTATCGCATTTCTCCCCAAACCTCTCCCATTTTTTTCAATATTAAAAAATATTTTTTTGTAATATTTTTTTTAAAAAAAGATAACGATTTGAGGAAAAATATGGGAATGGTTTATAAATGAATACAAACAAATATATCTGTTAAACTTTTGTTTGGCTTAAAAAGACGAGGTAAAGGTGCTTGAGGGATTAGAAGATACAATATATGGTATTTCTGTCCTATCATATATGTTTTGAAACCTTGGGTTTATTGAGAAATGAAATCTAAAAAGAGAGTTAGAAATATTTTTCCAATAAATAATTGTATTAAAAATTTATCTAAATAACCTATTGAAATATTTACCATTTTATCCTAGGTTTTATTTGATAAATTTTAAAGTGCATCATGTTATGTCATTTGATTTGATGAGTTATTTGAATTACGATCAAAAGAAGGATGGGCTATTTGAAATTAGATTAAAAAAAAAAATGCATGATGCTAAATGATTCATGCGTTAAAAGTAGTTTAATAGATTTCCTGCATTATCATTCTTAGAATTTATCTATGAAAATTTATGCATTTCAAATTGGATGGACCAATTTCCTAGAAATTCACCTATGATAAAAGCAAAGCATGCAGGAATAACATGGACAACTGCACTAATGTTCTTTTAAAGCTTGCAACTCTTTCTCATATCCTTGGTCTAAGAAAGGTGAGGATTTTACACTTTTGCTTACCTCTTTCTAAGCCCAAGTAAAAGAGATGGGTTGTGTTATGTAGACAACCAACATAAAATTTTATCAAATTTTTTAATGAATTCTGACTCAACATTATCTACTTATGCTAACGTGTGCTTCTTAATCAACACTAAGGGTATGACTCTTGATAAAGCAGAATGGTAAACCAAGATTCATGTAACTGACCCCAAATAATTGAAAAATAGCTTTGATGATGATGATAAACTCTTTGCCATGGGCTTGTAGACATTTACTATATGCATTTCTATTGTATGCTCCTTAGTGCACATAGCATTTAGTCCTTGTTTGTTGAGTTTGTTTTCCACATAAATGAAAATTCTTCCTTACAACAAAAAAAAAAAATTGGACCATTTCTTGATTTGTGCCGGTCATCATTGAGCCAAGGCTATGCTAATCTTCTTTGTATCGTTTCGATTTTATCCGATGCCGCCAAACAGACGATAAAAGTTGATATGCCCAACAGTTGAAAAAAAAAAAACAAAAAAAAAGTTAAGATCAAAATAAAAAGTACATTAGAACCCATTGGACTCAAAACATAAGTCCTTTACGCCATCAATAATTATAGCTAACGACAAGTAGTATAGAACCAAGTAGAACATGGTGGGCCCTTGATGGGCCCCACCATGCTCTCTAGATCTTTCTAAAGAATTGACACCCTAACACTCAATAATGAGAGCATTTTGGTGATTAGCATCTCCATCTCCGATTTCAGCCACACATTCAAATAAAAGTGATTTGCTATATAGCAAGTAGTTTTTTGGGGGTGACGAGTTAAATTGGTGACATGTTACAAGTGGCGTAGTTTTGCGGTTGAAAATGATAGATTTGGAGAGGGCAAGGAATGAGAAGAAGACGATCTTGTTGGGTTATTTATCGCAAGAGTTTCAGAATACGGATTGATGGTGAGGAATGTCACCTCATAGATCCATGCCATTGCCGAGCCAGATCGGTTTGAGCTAGTGATCTAAAAACTATTAAAAATAAAAAATAAAAAATAATTTTTATTTTTTCTTTTTCTAAGGGAGACCTAAAAAAACCTTAGATGTGGTTTAAGAAAGAGAGAGAAATAAAGGGTTTTAGGAGGGACCAGTTATTACTTATACCTTCTTAAAACTAGCTTGGTCCCAGCCGACTCTCGATTCAGGTCGGTGGGTTTTTTAAACACTTAAACTCACTAAGAAAATAATAAAACATTATCAATTTATATAAAAAATATATGGGATTGTATACAATGAGACAATTTACCTGTGGTATAGAGAGGTCACAAGTACTCATAACCATCCGATGTGAAATTTGATAGCTTAGGTGTGTAACAAAATTTGAAAAATTTTCTTTTAAACTTGGAACTCGGTCAATGAAATAAATGCAGCTACCTAATTTCGTATCCAATGGTCAAAATTCATTGTGACCACCTTGTACCAAAAATAAATGGTGTCTTTACATACTTTCTTAAAAATATATTAATATAGAAATATTGTATACACATCGTTAAAAGTTGTAAGAGGATATGTTACCCTAATTTTCCCCATAGACAATCTATTAACAGTCCATCATTTCTTAATTAAAATATGATAGAATAGAAACGAGTTGTGGTAAGTAGCATCTATATGCTTAGGCCCAATTTGATCGTAGATTGTGAAGGCGGTGGTATTATGGGAAATTTAAAAAGAGAGAAAAAATAGAGTTTTTGAAGATAAAAGTGTGCACTCAAGTATTTGTATATGTTGTCAACCTTAAAGAGTACTATAATTTCATTAATCTACTTAAAGGGTAATGTTTGTATATGGTGTGTACCTTATGTTATTGAAGTAAGGCGCACCTTAAACCTAATGTTTGTATACGGTGTCAACCTTATGTTATTGAAGTAAGGCGCACCTCAAATCTATGCTGAAAGATGCAGTTTTGATATCGGAAAGTCTTTTGATGGTATACAATCTATTACTACCCCTAATTATGAAATTTAAATTTCAAAAAATGGTAACGATCAAGTAGATCTATCAATATTTGAAAATCTTGAAAACAGACGGTTCAAATATGTGTTAGAATATAAACTTTTTTTTAGGAATTAAAATTCTTTCTTTTTTTTCTTTTTTTTTCTTTTTTTTTCCATATGCATGAATGTAGAGGTCTTGATGATTAAGGTGAGCGTTTTTTGGTGTCGGAACATCTTTCTCTAAAGGGTTTTTAAGGTATATGTTATTGGAAATTGTGGTCTTTCAGGCCCTTTTATTCAAGATATCCAATTATTATGGGCATAAACATATTTAGTTAATAATATCATAGTATTAACATGAAAAGAGTCACACATAGATATAAATTTTAGTAGGTCTTTAGTGATCTAATTAATCCTAATGAGAGTTTTAATAACTAGGTGACAGCTTTTCAAAACTCCTAATGCCTTTTAAGTAAATAACGATTGTGATGCAAATAAAAATTGAAGTTTATTTACTTTTTATTTTTAATTAGGAATAGGAAGAGAGTCAGGATAAAGATAAAGTTAAGTAGGTGGAGGAAGGAATTTTTATAAGTATTATCAAGTGGGAGATTTTATGCAGATTTTTAAGGGGCTCTAAATAGATTTAGTGAGAGATTTAAGGGGGATTTAAATATGAGAAAGATATAAGATTTAGATATGGGAATGCGTGTTTTAGATGCATCAAAAGTTGAGGGGATGGAAAATAGGGATGGCTTGTGAGGTTAAGAGAGAAGATAGCGATAGAGGTGGGTTATCTTTTAGAAGCAAATCGTCTAAGACATAAAAATAAAGAGAAATAAAGAGATGAAGAGAGAAATGAGAAAAGTTGGTGTACGAGAGAGAGAGAGAGAGAGAGAGAGAGAGAGAGAGAGAGAGAGAGAGAGAGAGAGAGAGAGAGAG